AAATTCCCACACAGTGATGTAAGCGGGAGATCAGCAGGTCGTGGTCCACTGTGTCAAATGCAGCTGTCATATCCAATAACACAAGCACAGCATATTTACTATGATCAGTAGCAACAAGAATGTCATTCATAACTTCATACATCTGGCTATTGATTTCAAGAAGTTCAAGAATATGGAGGTAGTCCTCCTTCATTATGCCACTCACTTTGTATAATGTACCAGTACCACTGGCAGCAAAACTACTGTACAGAGCCCCTCTGATGACATGGTCCAAAAAATAAATATCTTATGGCCGCAAAATACTACTTCGTGGGCACGAAATGGGTATAACATGCCCACGAAATACTTATTTGTGGCCACGAAACACGTGACTGATAACCGTGATCCTTCCCAGGCCCTTGTAGTTGGTTGACAATAAAATCTATCCCGGCATCCAGGTCGTACTTACGTCTGTAAAGCAACTGGGCCTTCAATATCCTGTTTAAATGTCTCTCCATAATAATGGTTCCTTGCATTGCCAGGCTTTTCAAAATGCATTTGTAGCTCATCCCCAGCCTAAAATAAAACTCAATCATACTGTCTCTGTCCACAGTGCATAGGTTTAGCCTACTCTTATGCTTATGTCTCTACGCAGCTGTCCAGGAATTGTATCAATATGATGTGCGCACGTTATCTATTTCGTTGCCACAAATGCGTAATTCGTTGCCACGTTATACCCAATTCATGCCCACAAATTAGCATTTCGTGCGCACGTTATGCCTATAATACTACTACTAAATACCTATAATACTACTTCGTGCCCTCGAAATAGTATTGCGTGGCCACAAATAAGTATTTTGCGGGCACGTTATACTATTTCGAGGGCACAAAGTAGTATTTTGTGGCCACAATTTATTTACTTTTTGGACCATGTCATCAGAGGGGCTCCGTACAAAACAGACCCAGGGCATGTTTGACAGTTGGTGCAGTTCACATTAACTCCTTCAAACATACCGCTCGTCATTATAGCCAGCCAGTTCGATGTTTGGTCATCAGAAATGAATACTTTTCTCCATAAGGCTTTTGGCTTGTCCATGTGGTCAAGCTATAGATTTCAGTTAAGCTACCAAGAGTCTTGTCGAAGTTCAACTGGTAAAACACATTCGACCAAATATTAATAGGGGCATATGTATATTTGTGTCTCTGCATACTGTCGATCCTATGTGTATTAGAGAAAACCCCAAACACATTCAAACCTGTGCACAAAATTCCAGTTTCTTATATTCATTTAAAAGGAATAAATGACAAATCATAGATTGACAGAATGATATGGTAAAGCTCTAAACTCCACATGCATAAATACATTGAGCTGCTGACATGTGATTGGATAATTTGAGATTTGCCTTAAAAATAATTTTCATAGGTATACCCAGAAAGGTGGCCTGTAAGTGTATTATTTTAAGTTAAACAAACTTGAGTAAATAAAGGAAAAAATGTACCTATAAAGATAAATATAATATAGTGATTAGCTTTACGTTGCTTTTTCACCCATGCGTGAATAACTATGGTTTTCTCAGTAACTGTTAGACATGCATTATTCCCTGTTTATTGTTTTATGTTATTGTTTTAAAGCATTTTATTGTTTTACCCTTGCTTACTTGTTCTTTCTGTTATATATCTATGTTCTTAGATGTCTTGTGTATCCAGTGATGGTCTCTTTCCTCATTTCGTCACTATTGTTTCCTTCTGGTTTTGGACAATTTATGGCTGGAGAGGTAGGTTCACAAAGCCCATGAACCATATATTATTTTTATTACATATACTCATCACTCTACAGTTATTACAGTAGACATCAAAGAATTCTTTTAAAAAATATGCAGGGCTTTTTCTCTTTATTCTAATTAAGCTAATTTTGAAATGTATCTAAAGATGGTTTACATTTCATACATGTTGTATGGTTTGAAAACAGTCTTTATCCATCTTAAATCATTTAATTATTGATATACCAAATTATTGATATATCAATAAGACTTAAAATTCAGCCCGTTCTTGTTAAATTGAAGTCATTCATTATATAATAAAATACATCATCAACTAACTCAAAAAAATGAAAAAATTTTCTGTGGATTACACATCATGGAAATGCTAATGTTAAATAAAAGGATAATATTGAAACCATTAGAAATTATCTTCTAGGGTTTCAAGCCAAACACTGAATTTTGAATGAAATATGTCTGTGAAGGTTCTCAGTCATCCAGGTCCTCGTATTCAAAGGAGCTTGCAAAGAAAAGCGTCTGGACTTCTTTAAGTTGCTTGAAGACGTTTCACCTCTCATCC